AAGTTTTGAAGTCCAAAATAAAATAACACTTTGCTTCTTCCAATATCCGAATACAGTCCTTGCAGCAACCTGACCTTCCTCCCTTGTGGTCATAAAGTTGAGTTCTCGACCAATCAGTGCTTCTCACAAATGGATTGTGCATGAAAAATGCATATGCAGCAAACACTGTGCACTACCAATAAAATCCTTCTCTTAGACAGCATGGAATCCAATGTTTCTACATGAGAAGCTTTGGAAGTGTCACTGCTCACAGGACCCCCAGGGATCACTGTTTTACAATATCACCCTGCTCCTTGACAGTCACTGGAAGCATCACTAGAATACAATGTAAACATTGCTGTATGTCCCAATTTAAGTGGCATGTAATGCATCAATGTAACAAGATCACTTCATCTGAATTAAGTCGTTTTGGTAAATAGTCCCTGTAATCTAGCATTGTATAACAGCCGTTTTCAGAGAACTGCAGTGTTTACGTTTAACTGAGTAAGCCACTAAACTCTCTTCCTCTTGAATACTTATTTACACTGTTAATGTTTCTTGTGAAGCATTGGGTTTAGCGTTTCTGTATGAGAAGTGATCAAATGGAGTGTGATGATTACGGTGTATGCTCCATAGGTTCTCATTATTTATCAGAAGTTTTGGATTGTACAAATATGATCAATCAGGCTCAACACTAAAGAGTTGCTGCCTTGCAGATTCACTTGCGGTGCTGTACTACAGGCAGGTAAGGCTATAGCAGCACTGTCCCTTTCCAGATTTTGTTTTTAAAATTTGGTTTATATTTTTTGTTATACACTGGAAGTAACTGCTTCTATGTCTTATGGGAAGAGAAATCTTGGGCATTGTCTGGAGCTTTAAGTTCAGTTTAATTTGCTGAGTTAGTTTACTCACATTCAATTGGTCAAAATGACAAACTGTAGACATTGACAGACAACAAATTGTAGGCATCCAGGTATTTCTGGCACAAGGTAGTGTGTGTGTCTTAAAAAGGAGGGGGGCATGCCAAATTACAAAAAGCATAGCCCAGAATATAAGTAAAGGACTGGATAATGCTAATTCTGTGCAAATTTGTCATTGGTCACCACATTACTATGCATACTGACCACATAGGACTGATTTTTGTAACCGCATTCCTGCATGGATTGGGCTGCTGGGAGAACTTCTCAGATTTGAAAAAAAAAACAAAACCCCCTCTCGGTAACCCCTTTTTTATTACTCCGTAATTGTGGATGATAGACTAGATTTGTCACACTAAAACATGTCTTCATCAGAATGCCTAAATATATTCTCCCTTCAAACAGCTATGAATGAGCAAGGTTTAGAGTAACTTTGGTGCATGACCTCAACCTATTCTCTAGGTGAGGTACTATACAATTTTTAAAAACCGTGGTCCCTGCACCTGCTTAGACACTAGATAAGACCTGTATCTAAAATAGTTTGAACTTGAATTTCACAAAGTATTCATGACTATACCCAGACCCTAGCTGACAACGCTTTGGGAATATTGCATATTGTCTGTAAGTTAACAAAATGCTTAATTAATCTCACATGTAGATAACTGCACTGGTCTCTGTGCTGCTATGCCACCTCCCTACCGGAGATAATCAGTCTTTTGATCGTAGCTAAATCAATGGGAGGTTAGTGTGCATGAATAATCGCTGCACTGCGCCTCATCAGTCAGCATCTCTTCGCTGAATGCATTGCATTAAAACATCTCTATGGGGAGCATTCAGCATCTAAATGCAGAGTGTGACGACCGTTAAGGGGAACCTGTCACTTTAATGTGCTAGCAGTTTTGCCTATTTAAAATCAAAATTGACAGGGAGAGCTGCAGGGTTCTCTCGACACTCTCCCACAGTTTGTGGTTGCTATGGAGGTAGGGAGTGTTTTGAACAGAGTAACTGATGTAACTCCGGTCAGACACCTGCATGTCTGTGTCATTAAGGTTTACCCTTCTTGGGGAAGTGATCACAAGCAGGCCAAATCAGCAATGAGTGCAGGCAGATTGGAGGTGGTTGTTACAGAAGTGTACACCAACTTCTGTAAGGAGATTGTGGTGGGGGGTCAGTTAAGTGTCTGACAGGCTTTCTTTAACATTTAGTTTAGTTGCGAATAGCAGAGAGGCAGTCAGACACGAGTCAAGAAGGGTGGGGAGACAGGTAGATTTGCATGTCATCGGCATTAAATTGATAGTGGAAGCCAAAGTAACTGAGTTTATCAAGGGAGGCAGTATAGATTGAGAACAGTAGAGGACAAAGGACAAACAGAGGGAGAAACACAGAAAAAGTGCTTTGAGATGTAGGAGGAGCACCAGAGAGAGTAGTACTATGTACTGCCTGTCTGTGAGTGTGTGTGTTGGTCAGTGTTGCATTGGCTACGACTGGACAGTGGAGTACCTGGAGGTTCATAGAGGCACGCTACGTCACATTATCCGATGTGACATTAACATGCTCCACCTTCAGAGTTTAATGAAGTTTCGGGAGGGTCAGATTTGGCACAAGGTGCGGATGGCGCCATTTGGGGGTATACCAGAGACCGGACTCCGAAGTAGCATACTGGCTGTGGCAATGTAAGTGGAGTCTGCTTGTTGGCTAGAGGGGGAGTACTGGTATTTAGTAGAGGGGAAGGACTTGGATTTAGTATAGGGGGTGCTGTGGTTTAGTAAAAGGATGCTGTGTTTTGTTTTTTTAAATACTGTAATTTTCAAAATAAACCTAAATTTCTATAAAAATGTGTTTTTTTTTGTTTTTTTTTTGCAGCCCACAAAAAAGAAAGGTCAAGGAGAATTAGGATAAATAGTGACTGTTATTGGCTGCTATTAAATCATTGACTGCTTTGGTCACCGTTGTTTCGACACTGAGCATGGAATTGAGGGGAAGGACCCCATGTATCTAGCTCGCACCCAATTTGATACAAAGTCTAACCGTGGAAGCCATATATTAAGGGATTCTTCTCTACCGGAAAGCTGTCACTTCCATAGACTATGTTCCTGTCCTACAATGACCGTGCACCAGGGATGTCTCTGATGCCGAAAAATAGCAATTTGGTCAATCCCTTTGTACCTTAACCCGATCCCGACCTCTGACTTATGTACGTCCGACAAAAAAAAAAAAAATCGGTCCTTACGTACCTGATATGTCCGGGGCTAAAGTGCTGGAAGGGATCATGATTGCTTCCAGCCGCTCTAATGGTATTGCAGCGATGCCTCAATGTCGAGCCATCCTGCAATACCCCCTCACTGCCGGACCATTGGCTGATGGCTACCGTGGAGCGATCACTTCTGGGTTGCTCCACGTGGTGCCCGGGAGGGAGGCTGAACATCAGGAGCCATAAGGCTGGCTTCCGATGCTCTGTCTGTGTGCTGAGGCACTCCATAAAATAAATTAAGAAAAAAAAAATTAAACTCTTCCCTCCTTCCATAAACTCAACCGATCGCCGGTGATCGGTCTTCACTGGGGGGACTGTCTGACAGACCAGACAGTCCACCCTCTGCAAATTAAGACCCCCAGGGGCCATGTGACCACTCTTTTGGCTTCAATAGGTGTCCATAGTGCTGCCAGCCTAGGGGACTGCCTGAACTGACAGGGGCTGGTGAAAAAGTAAAAAAAAAAATATATGGAAAGGCGGAGCCTGTAGTTGTGGGAGGGGTTATCTTGCAGCCGCTTTGTAGATGGCTCCCTAATTCCCACGGTATCGGGGAGCTGTCTAACAAAAGACTCAAAGTGGTCTTTCAGCCAAATTTACTAATGCAAAGTGAAGATTACTTAGTATTCGTAAATTCTGCCCCTACTTGCTATACCGCGAGGACTCCATGTCCTCTGGCCCCCACCCCTGAGCGTCCCCACGCCTCTTCATTTACCTATCAGAACACTCTGGTTGGCTTAAACCAACCAATCAAAGTGCTTCGAGCCTAATTGCAGGGCATGGGAAGGTTTTCCCTGCCCTGGGGAGCTCAGTCTGCACCTTGGCCTCCATGGGTGAAGATGGATTAATTTGTTTAGCATCTGTTTTTTTCTATTTTGTCGTTTATTTTTTCCATACATCCGTACCCCTCATACAGCCCTATTTCTCCAACCAGCAACTCAGAGGACTGACCTTGAGCCATTCTGCCTTCTGCTACGATACCTCTACACATGGCTCTCACTCCAATACGATTACACACGGCCCTTCAGGGGCAATAACTGGAATTTAAGCCCCTCATTTGGGCAATTACATAAATTAAATTCCTGATATGAGGGGAAAAAATTAAAATACAACCTTTCATACTACATTCAATTATTACACTCTGCCTTGTTAGGCCCATGCAAGGCTTTCTCATAGAGCCATCTCTCGACACACTCCCAAGAACCGTGAACCTAAACCTATCCCTACACATTTAGCATATTCAGCCATCCTCGTTCTGTCACTATTTTTAACTGTTAAATTGCTAGTTCTGGTATATCAGCTTAATCTGGTATGCTATGGGATTCGATTATGTGGTGGTTGTCTATTTCTCTGGGTTGTCTTTCTCATACATACTTCAGGTCCTTCTAGTGGAACGATGCGCAGTGGGAACTCAGGCCTATATTTAGTACATCAGGTATTCAGCATTCGAGGTCATCTGTTAATTTTCAGTTACAGTGTTATGGTTTGATATATGCCTTTCTGTCACAATGCCTACTTGCTCCAAACTTGTGGCTGTTAATCGTCAACTCGATACATTGTGATTGTACCCTCACCTAGACATAAACTCAACATAAAATCAATTATCCCAGCCACCTTCTTTTATGGCCTTTTACATATCGAAACACGCTAGGAGCATATTAGTATGTCACGTCTCACCAGGTATACTTCATACCGACCACTGCATGTATACTCAGATACAGTTCAATTTCCTTTGGTTAGTTAGTATCAGATATCAAGAGTATTGTGTGTTCTGGGCTCATTGCAATTTACCTACCTTACCAGCAATCTTGCCATTGCATTTGCACGGTGTTGTCATAGTTCTGGATTATGAAATCCTTAGTGGGATTTAGGTTTTGGACCGCTGTACACATTTTCTTTTGCCCATACCTTTCTATTCATTTATTCTCACCATCAACTCTGCCAGCGTATGTCTAATCATACCACAGTTTTTCACATTTATGTTTTTCAAGTCACCATGCAAGCAACTCACCATACGATACTACCTCCCTTCTTACAACAACCACTCGCTCTACACAACTTATGTTTAGCTTGGTCTGGCTGTTAGGGTTCCCTAAGGTGCGATAGGTAGTTTTTGGCTTCTTGTGCCATTATTTAGCAGTCCCGCGAGGCCAACACCCATCCACAACTACGGAGGTATTCGCCCCTCGGGCCAAACCATAGTTACTGCCTCGCATGTCTGCCTTCTTGGCAAAAGCAGTTAGAACCTCACCTGTCACAGCCAACTTATTTTGAATCTCTTTTTAAACCTCACCGAGAGGTGAACACCCCGCCACAATGCTCAGTGGCAAACGTACCCAACTGGCCAAATCATAGGTAGAGCCTCTCATCGCCACTTGGCAACTAGTTAGGTTCCCAAGTCATCAATTTAGCTTAGTTGTTTCGCCGCTTGGCATAACATAGGTCAGCCAGTAAATGCTGATATAATGTACCTGCCAGGTGTATGTCTAGTTTTTCAAGTCACCACATAAGTGACTCACTTTACGATACTACCTCCCTCCATACTACATCCTCTCGCTCTACAGAACTTATCTTTAACTTGGCTTGCTGTGAGAGTACCCTAAGTGGCCATAGGTAGTTTTTTTGGCTTCTTGTGCCATTATTTAGCTGTCCTGTGAGGCCAACGTTTGGTGGCATGGAGTAGGTAGGGTAGTGAGGTAGTACTGTATGGCCGTATGTGGACAGTGCAAGATATAGCAGACGTATAATACTATAAGACGCTTTGATTTACAGGTAGAAAGCTGTGAGATAGTTGCACTTTACGCATACATTCCTATCCAGTAGATATGTGAACTTAGGGGTTGCAAATAGGACGTATTTGTCCCCTAAGGTTACCTGACTTATGTTGCCAATGGTCCATAGATGGCTTTGTGTGAGGACTATGCATGAGAGGTTGAGCGCGGCCCAATGTAGTTCCTGTGGTACTGGGAGGTAATGTAAGTCTGAGTGGACTTTAATGGGGTGGGTTTGGTGGTTATCTAGTTGTAGATCAGCTGAAAGTTACTGGTCATGACAGCGTAGCCATATCTGAAATATGGCCATACTGATGTCGTACAGTAACTTTCAGCGTAACATATGATCGTTGTATGGTCTATACGGGGAACATGATAGGAGGTGCTGAAATACCATGAGTACATATGCTAAATACCTGCTGAGTCCAATGACCTGAGGGTAGACGTACCAGGAATGTAGGCTGAGACCTGTGGAATGCAGTAGTGTCTGTACTGACACAAGACCATGAAGGTTTATAACTATACTGATGAATAATTTCCTCAGTCTTGTGTCTTTGGCCTTAAGGACCACTGAGATATCGCCCTAGGTGTATGAGCGGTACTCTGTGACATCCTGGGAGGCAATGAGAAGCAAGACCAGATTAACGTCCTTGACCTCCAGGATGTCCTTCTTTAGGTTTGCCATACAGTAGCACTAGCTGTAAAGGGTATGTTTCCCTGCAGAATTCGGCCGTGATTCGTGGGATGGTTCCAGATCTAATCAAAGATGGACTGCTGGTGTCCCCTTTACGTGTAGAGGTGGCAGTCCTAGTTGGAGTACTTGGACTAGAAATGTCATCTCCTTCTTCTGGAACTTGGGACATACTGAATTACATATGTAAGAATCATGAGATTTCTCTTGAGGGTGTATACATTTGTTAACTAGTGGCGAAACAATTAGTCTAGTGACAGGTGAGTCCCTACTGGTTGCCAAGTGGCCTGAAAGGATCTACCTATGGTTTGAGCGAGGGGGTAACCTGCTAGTTTGTTGCTTTACAAGGAATGAGTCCCTAAATTGGGGAGAGTTGTGACAAGTAAGGCCCTTACTATGCAACAAGCGAGGCGGCTAGCTATGATTTGGCCCGTGGGGCGTATTACCTTTTACGTGGAAGATGGGTGTTGGCCTCGCAGGACCTCTATCTCTATGGCATAGAGTGCCTGGGAGAAAATACCTAGGTGGCCATACTCAATCCTCTCTGTGGATTGCTTCCCTGTAATATGACAGGAAGCGGGAGCATGTATTCTTGGTTTGTTCTGTGGTAGACTGAGATCATGCTAAGGAGGGAGGCCTAACCCAAGATGGTGGAGGACAGAATAGAAGGAAGAGGGTACATATGATTATGTAACGACACTCAACCTGCTGAAATATCCCCTGCAATCGTAGTGTTTAATTCCAACATGAACAACCTACATCTACCTTTAGCCTTTACTGTGAAATTCTTGATTTGGCACTTATACTGTAAGTTTCCGACAAGCCAAGTTTTGACTAAGTTTGTAGCTTTGAGTCTGTACCGCATGTCAGAATTGGTTCTGTTAGGTTCACAAGAGTCTGTTCAGTACCGATTGTCCTATACAAACACTTATGTTCCTGCTCGCTGAATCGTAGTGATAGAATATAAATGACGAAAATGTATGACTGGTACAGGGAATGACTGGGGCCGACACAGTACGTACCAATTGATAGTACTACAACATTCTTGATCTTTGTCTAGGTTTCTGACTCTCGAAGCAGACCTACGTGCACTTGCTGAGAGGGGAGGAGGGGTTGGGAGTTCAGACCGTTGTGGCAAAACCTTTTTTGACAGGAGGGGCGGTGGGAGCCGGCGAGGCCAGTAAGTGAAATTCCCGTTCCGCTGTTGGTGGGGGAGGGGGGGAGAAGAGAGTGTGTTCCGGCTAGGCATATGAAGATCTCCATGCCCCAGTCTATAGGGGGGGAGGGGCGCAGGTACAGAGTTACCCTCTGTGCCCCTGGTACCGTGAGAGGGTGAAAGTATGTATCGAGGAAATTGCAATAGAGCTCGGCGGGATGTAGAAAAAGTAATACCTATGTGAGACACAGACTGTGTACTGCTGTACCCGTCTACTCACTGTTGATCTGCCGCCCGGTGACAAGGTGAAATCAGTCGGAGGAGACCATGCTGGGGTACCTCAGACCTCCGTGACCTGTGTTCGTGGGGGAGTCTGTCGTATTCCCGTGGTATATGGCAGCCGTAGACCTCGGGTCGAGCTAATGTCAAAGCTGTAGACCAGTACAATGATACCGGTCTGCTCACTTACTGTTCGGCGGGAAAAATGAACGTGACTGGCGGCAGAGTGTTCCTGGGAGCGAAGCCTTGGCGAGCTGTCAGGAGGAGGTTGAGAGCTGCAACTGAAATCCTTCAGAGTACCGGAAGTCCAGCCCAGAAGTACGTCTGGACCAGCAGGTAAGTTAGGTAGGAGGGGGAGTCCCTTTTAAAGGGACATAGCTCCTCCCACAACTTCAGGCCCTGCCTTCCAATATATGATCTAAGTGTGTGTATGTGTATGTATATATATTTTACACACACTAAGTGTATTTTTATATACCTAAATATTTGTTGTTAAATGATTTTTCCGTTTCCCCTGAATAAAATGATATATAATATAAGTGTGGGTGCATTTAAAATGAAAGAGGTGAATTACGGTTGGACAGACATATAGCGCAAATGCCAGGTTTTGTTTACGTTTATTTTATTTTTTTGTATCACAACTTGTACATTTGGCTGCATCCTTAAGGGGTTAAAATGGAATGAGGCAAAAATGTGATTTTTTGTTGTTGTTAAACTAATTTGCATATGCCCACCCAGAATCCTTTGCGGTAGTAACATCACTGCAGATTTGTGATTTCTGTGGTTAAAGCAAGTCTTATTGCTTGATTGGTGTGCAGATTTTTGTTTAACATTATATTAAAAAAAAAATATGTATGTATGTGTGTATGTATATATATATATATATATATGTGTGTGTGTGTGTGTGTGTGTGTGTATGTATGTATGTATGAGAGGGAATGTGATTTAAATATATTGGATCAGTAACTGCAAGAAAAACTGTATATCAAATAGGATGCATGGACGACAAGTAACTGCTAGTAAACTGGTACAGAACTAGACGGCATTTCAGAATGTTTGTAAACACATATAAGATCAAAGAGAGCGCAGTTGTTACAGTGCCTTGGTACACTATGTTTTGTGTCCCTATTTGCTATGGCTCGTTGACGTTCTAAAATACGTTCTCTCAAAGTTCTGATAGTGCGTCCTACGTATTGTGTCCCACAGGGGCATTGTAGTAAATAAAAAATTTTGTAGAGCAATTACACATTTGGCAACGAGCCAAATTGTCAAACAGAATTCCACTTTTTTCCCCAAGCCCAGTGTTTGTTTTTTTTTTTTTAAAGTGTGATCACTGTAAGATGTGTTAAAAACCTTCCGAGCTCTATTAAAAGTTTTTTTAATAATTCCATCACCAAATGGACATTATGAGATCAAACATTTTATTAGCTGCTCACAAATTTTTTTTTATTTATCAACATAATGTGGAATTCTGTTTGACAATTTGGCTCAGTGCCAAATGTGTCATTAATTGCTCCACAAAAAATGTTATTTATTACAATGCCCCTGTGGGGCACAATATGTAGGACACACCATCAGACCTTTGAGAGAACGCATTTTAGAACATCAATGGGCCATAGCAAATGACATAACACGGCATTGTAACAATTGCGCTCTCTTTAAAAAAAATAACATTTTAATCCTCTTCTCCTCCTTTCATGTTGTACAATAATCTGAATAATTACATTATATTATATTAATATAATTCTATGGTCTTTTTTCATGAGTGAATTTTATACTAACTGTTAGAGGAATTCAGTACTTTATAAATGCAGTTTGGGGTAGATTGGCTGCTACTAATTTCCACATTTTTAAAATAACTTTTTAAGTAGCCGAGTCATCCACACATGGCAACATTAGTGCGAGAGTCCTATTGTTGCAGGAATAAGCCGCAGAAGCCACACACGAGAAATGGAAGCAGGTTCGTTCAGGAAGAAAAAGGTCTTTATTGTTACCGATCGGGTCTCAGATTAACTCCTGTTCTAAAAATGTCTGAGCCCATAGCATAGTTTTCACAGGCTATTTATTAACAATAACTCCTCCTATTCCTAGCTTCTAAGGTCAAAGGAATGTGACTACAGTTGATGCACATGCTCAGTACATTGATGACAATATCTTAGCTACATGTAACTAACTAACAGATACAACAAACACCTGTACTTGTATATGCCACATGGAGATTTCAGTCCTACTAAATTTTGAACCATGTTGAAATCCCATCACATTCCCCCCTTTGATGCTTTTGATAGAAAGTTATTCCAGATGCATCACTAATCATAATTTGCCAACACCTTTCAAGTAACCATGAGCCGGGACAGACCATATGAGCATTCTAACTTACTTAGCTACCTCTCAACATTCATCAACCGTAGTATCCATAATCTCTCTCTGGCCTAGGGGTTCATATTTCCAGATGGCCATTACATGAGCAGCTGTCTTCCTTTCTATAGTGCTCTCAATAAAACTACGTATAGACCTAACTATTAATGGAATCAGACATGGCAGGAAGAGGCATAAGAAAATAATAAATACCACTCCTCCTACCAATGCTTTAATCCCACCAAGGTGCTCATACCAACTCCCAAACCAACTATTTGGATTATACCCGTTCCAATTCTGAGTGGGAACGTGCACCAGTTTAACCATGTGGTTAGTAATATCAACCACTGCCTGCCTCTCATCATTTAAATTCAGACAACAATTACTGAGGTTAAACTTTCCACACACACCACCTTCTACTGCTAGCAAATAATCAAGAGCCAGCTGTAGCGGAGTAGTGGTATTATCCACGGTATCTTCGCTGGTAGACAGGATGAAGCAGGAAAATGTAGGTAAAATGCAGGTAGCGTAGTTACAATCCTTTTCTCCTAAGAACTAGACGACACATAGCTTGGAGGTTAAAACACTGGCATCTCACCAGGCTGAGGCAAACTCTTTAATGATTACAGTTTTCTTTAAACACAGCCCTCCGCAGGGGGGGTCTGCATTCCACACAATACACTTCCCTTAGTCCCAGGCAGGAGGGGGTTGGGTTACAGATAGCCATCTCCTGCCTTAGGAGATACCAAGCAGTACACAGGAATACACTTTACATCATATTACATTCATGGGGGGTTACACTTTAAGTGGCTGGTTTGGCCACAGATAGGAATAGCAATGCAGCAATAGCAAGATATATACAAGGACATTCTATAAGTGGCTAGGTTTGCCACACCAGCCTATTTTGGTAAATGGCTGATCTCATGCAGATATTTTGCTTCGCCAAAAGGTTAAGGGCCTTAGCTGTCTCATTGGTTATGACCTCAACCACCGCCTGTAATCTTATAATGCGGTTGAGCATATATATGAGGGTTCGGTAACCATAAGTACCATCTTCAGCCCAGGTAGCAGGTCCATATTAATTAATAATACGTTGGGGAGACCACTCATCATCTTCCCAGTTACCTACATTCAATGATGCTTGCTTCTTTTTATGATTTACATCATAAACCTTAACTCCCAAGGTCTCTCCCGTTTCAATTGGTAACAAGAAGGATGGTTTGAGCATACCTAGCACACATGCTCCCTCCCAATCGTGTGGCAACTCAGAGTATGCTTTCTTTCCACAGATCCAGTATAAATTCACTGGGGCTTTCCAATTTGATGTAGCAGGTAGATCAAACCATACCTCTTTCAAATTGGTGTAATTGGCAAAAGGATTAGTAGGACATATGAAGCTGACCACCAAGTAGTATTTTAAGTATTTGCATTATAGGTCTTCTGCCCTAAACATGTTAACTCGCCAACAGGTGTATTATACATAGGACCTCCTCTAGCTAAACATATATGACCTATGATAGATGGTTTTAAACGCCATTCTGATTTTTCTCTTACACTTACTTGATGGCCAGTTTGGGAAGGCATCTGTTGTTCATTTGTCTCAGAACCAGGGTACCATACTTCTCTTGCTTCCCAGGGCCATTGGTCTCCCATATTAGTACCGCCGCATACAAAGCAGTTAGGTAGTTATATATAAGACTACCTGCTATACTCTCAGCTAAATCACTAAACAGATTCTTAACATTATGGGGATCTTTATCTTCAACACTCATCTCCTCATAAAAGGAATGGTAAACCTGATGTTTCAATACCTACATATAATAGGGCTCCCGGATCTGTTCCTGTACCATGTATCTGAAACCCAAAAAGATCTCCCAAACTTGTTAATACATTGCTGTGGATTGGAAATGGTCATATGTATGGGATTACATTCCATGGTTTTACAATACGGTGTAGCGGGCAACCTTTGGATAATCATATCTTGATCTA